ACATATACATATACATATACATATACATATACATATACATATACATATACATATACATATACATATACATATACATATACATATACATACATATACATACATACATATACATACACATACATACATATACATGCATATACATATACATACACATACATACACATACATATGTACATATACATAGTATATATACATACACACATATACACATATATACACATATATATACACACATATATACACAGACATATATACATATATACACATATGCACATATACACACATACATGTATACACATATACACATACACATATACACATATACACGCATATTTATACACTCATATATCCACACATATACACATATATATACACACATATACACACACTTATATACATATATACACATATACACATATACACATACACACGCATATATTTACACTCATATACAGGGTGGGCCAAAATTATTATTACAGCGCGCGCTGACGTTTATTGCAAATTTTTTCTATGTTCATAACAATTCATTCAATTTCTTCCATTTCACAAAGTAGCTTACGTTATCTTCTTTCTAATGATACTAAACTTTTGGTAGATTTTTAACATAATATGAGCGTAACTAGTCCGTGAATTTTACGTCGCTTTGCATTTACAAACACTTTACAGGCGAACTAGCGAAACAAGGCAGGGATTGCATTCAACCATAAGACGCTCTCGAGAGTTGGGAACAACTGCAGATAGGAGTGGTGAACCTAGGGGAGCAGCGAAAATTTATTCTGAGTCCAAAAAAGGCTAAATGAATGGATATGTGACGAATTTTCTGCGTGAAATCGTGAAGCATCACCTGCACAACGAGACCCTTATACGATCAGAAAGTGATTTTCCCAGAGAGCAGCTTAAAGAGAAGAGAAAGGTTGGCCAACAAAAGCTGCCTGTCGCATCCGAAAAAATTGTCCTACGGAATTCTTGTTCACCGACGAAAAGAGATTCACAGTGAAATAGGTGCTCAATAAGTAGAGCGATAACATTTATATAAAGTTTAAAGAAATGAAAGTGATACAGCGCCTGGCTCACTAACTTTCTGTGATGGCCCGTGCTAGCATCGCCACCGAGGCGAAGACACCGATTATTCTTGTAAATTATGGAGTGAAAGTTGGTTTGGAGGCCTGTTTGATCTCTTCGTGCGCAACAGGACACTTTGGTGATTCGAACCGGTCATATTGTCAAGATGAAGCTCCTGACCGCAGTACAGAAATTGTCTAGAAATTTCGTGAAAGGGGTTCTTTGACTTCATAACCTTCGATCAGTGACCACTCAGGCGCCCTGACCTAAATCCCATGAATGTCTCAATGTGGTCAGCCTCAGAGATGAAAGCATCTTTCAGCCCAAGCAAGAGAAAAAATAATCTCGAAAATGCTTAGCAAAAAGCCGGGACCATTTCGATGACCCTAGCTGCGTGCCACCGTCAATGCCGTCCATCGTCGTCTTTGGGGTTGGGTGATAGCAGAAAGAAACAGATCCCAGTTTCAATGTACAGTTTTGATAAGAAATTTGTGATAAACCCTTTAATGAAATTGGCTTGCTCTGATGGCTTTCTATTCGTTTTCTGCGATGTGGTTTCTGTGTAGTCATAATTTTGGCCCACCCTGTATACACACATATATATGTATATACACACATATATACACATATACATATGTACACATTTACACATATACACTTACCACCTACCACCTACCTACTTTTAGTTAGTGCTATTAGATTCAGAGACTATCTCTCTTATTCATGACACCTCGCCGGCTAAATAAACACTTACCAGGGTTTTTTCGAAATGCCTTCAGAATTCCGTTCCCTTCTTTTTCGGTAAGTGATTGTAAAGTAACACGATGTACCGAAATATTTTTTATTAGGTGTTACAATAGTGAAAAAGTTTTTGTTCCCTAGAATTTCATGCACCGCAGATGTTTGAGAAGTGATACGGGTCATCCTACCACGATTATAGCATGTACAAATATCCAAAAATTTGAAGCGATGTTGCATGTTTTGGATGGGAAAGTTGTCACCGCAACAATCAACAAGTAGAACGTAATAAAATCACCATTCAAGTAATCCATAGGTTACAAGGGAGAAACTCGATCTAATGCCAAGTTCTCGCTCCCCACAAAACCCGAACCCTGGTTTATCGCTCATGAAGCGTCACCCATACCACTGCTCCAACCCACCGTTGAAGAACCCTGTGCATCCGTGTAATATGTTATGTTAAGCCTTACTTTAAGTCACCTCATAGCTACACTCAAAGAATCGCTCGAATATGGAAAGCCGATTTGAAATCAGCATCCGAAAATACGTGTGGCAGTATGGGTCTCAATCCAAACGGTCACTGGTGATCGACACGACTTGGGATCCTTCCCTGGTGAGATTGCAAATTCATCAGGCCCTCTTCTAATCAGGGTCTATACGGAGAAGCTAACTAGCTTAAGATTTGAAGAGCACGATGGCCATTCCTCCATGCTAATGAAGTCGGGCATCTCGCGTCGGCACCACTTTTGATTGGGCTTTGGTCCGTGGGCTGGACCGTACATCTGGAAGGTTCACTGGCTGTTTCAGGAAACGGAGTCAGATCAGTGCTCTGGTACGTTCATCAGTATGCTCTCTAAGTACAAGCAGTATTTGTCAGTTTTCATGTCGGTACTGAGTAAATCAACGGCGTTCTTGTAACAACTTTTTTCGTGAGAGGTTGATCTGAGGATCTGTGATTCTATCCAAAACACTACGCCTAGTTTGTTCGGGACCGTGTTATGGGAATTTTCTTTTTATAAAAAGGTGAGGGTACGTGCATTGCATGTCCCACTTAGAAGCATAGTTCACAATAATTTTGGGTAATCCAGATTATGACGAAAAATGGAAGATAAGATGGAAAATAGTGCGACGAAGGCGGAGAAAACGCGTGGACCGGTGTTTCCGAAGTGAAAAAAGGCTACGAAAGGATGGTTGAAAAGGGGGCTGGGCGAGAACGAGACCAGAAAAATAAAGTAGAATGTGTGTTTGGGGTGTTTGAACGAGCGATACAATGCGTGTCGTTGCGTTCGTGTCAGTCCTGGTGCGAATAGCTGACTACGTTAAGCGAAGATGTCCTTTAAAATTCACTCACTCTTAAGCAGAAGTTAACAAAAACCCTATAAACAGTGCAAAAATAGCCCACCAATTCATCCACTTGAGGTAGAAAACTAGATAAAGGACCGCAACAGCAAAAAGCGTAACGGAGATTAATAGACTAAAGGATCCGCTGTCCTCTCAGCACTGGAATTTTTTTACCATTCGCTGGCTTCGGGTCGACCCAATCGCTCCATGGCGATCCAACACATCACTAATCAGTATCTTTATGAATAATGACATAAATTGCATGAGACGCTTCAACGATATGTACGCAATCACGAGAAGCGGGAGTGTGATCTACGAATCGAAGAGCATGGAGTCGGAGAGTGTGGTGGTTGTGAACGATGGTCCCTCGACCGTTCGTGGTGCGTTCCCGTGTTCAAATTCCCATCGACATCCTCGCTCTCGCTCCGCCCGTTCGATCGGCTTTTCTCCATCCATCTGAAACAAGGCGTTCGAAACATAAACATGAGTCGCGCATACTCGGAATTAGTAATGCCCCGGTTAAATACGAGAAACATGAGAAGCAGGATTTTTCTAGGTTTGTACACCCTTTACCCTTACATGAAGAGATATTGATTAGTGCTACTGGTATTTTAGGGTTAGGCATTGCTACCCTCGAGGGCAATCCCTGACGATGGGCGCTGGCGTGCCACAGATGAGTGCAACGTCGTGAGACAACTCGGAGTTGAGTTGCATCATTTCGACGTGAGCGGTAGACCGCTCGGAGGTGAGTTGTTGGCGTCCACTTCGGATGAGCGACCAGGAGCGGTATCTAAAACAGACGAAGAGTTACAGCAACAGCCAACGGAATATTTTGAATGCCTGCATATCTTGCTAGCCCCAATGAGCGTTAAGAGCGCGTTCGGAAAACGCGGTATGAGTGCCATCAAAGTAGCTTCCGGCATCGTCGAGGCTTCCCCGAAAATGAATCTGTGCCATGAATTACCGATTCTACGCCACAAACCTTTCTTAAGCGTAAGATTGAGTGCCGTGGACATAGTACTTAGATATACATTCGGCTTGTATAATTTGATAAATTTACTTTGGCATACACGAAGTACGCTCTTCTAGAAAGAGAAGCTTCTTGTGATCCATATTGGTGATGTTAGCAGCTGTGCCTAGAGACATAAAGTCGCGTAGTTTACGGCGATCGTCGGAAAATCGCTTGGATGCGTTGTATAACGTTTGTGACATTAAGTGCCTATTGGTGACATGGAGGTTTTCCATGAGGCTTTGAAGGGTAAAGGAGACCGAAGCTATTACAAGGATAATATGGTCTTGCTTTGCAGATTCTTCGGTCATTTTTGCTGCGCACACAGACCGCGCCCGTAGGCAATATCCACAATTTGCATAAACAACAACTCTACATCATCCATTTTGACCGCATTCACCTTGTCAAAATTCGGTTTGTTCTGCGATCCTGCCATAGTGACAGTGATGGCATCTTGATCTGGGTAATCATGCCCGCCAACTTGCACGTCGCCTGCCAAAAGAAGGCAGGCAGCTGCCAACCTACCGTATTCGAGTTTAGCTTTGCCATAGCTGATGAATGCCCCATCAGCGCCAAGACGGGAATAGTACGTTCGTCTGTGTTGGAACGTTGCTACTGCGATCCGCTGTTTCTAATGAGGATACGCTCTTCAGCGGACACCATCGTTCGTGTTCAGTCGCATGGTGGCGTCGAGGTAGCCCTATTCCACTTCTATGTCTGCAATCTTGTTCATACGCGCCCTGGATGGGACGCCCCACTGCCCAACCGGCTTTCTCGTTGATAGGAGTGCGAAATTGAGTGAGGTCAGGGAAACTTTTTATATTTGGAGAGCGCCATATAGCTGCGTGCACTGTTGTGTCCGTAGACTCCGCAATACATGCGGTAATGGTTCCGCAGACCGTAGTATGCTGCTATGGAGGAACCGACATCGTTGGGTCGTTCACGGAATAAATCGAGGTTGTATAACATCTTTTTTACCAATTAATGTTGTTCCTTGCTCGTCAGCCGGACATCAAATGGTGCGGGTGGTATGGAATGTCTACCACAAAAAAGCTAAGAAGCTAACTCCTTATCTGTGCCCTTCCACTGACATGTGAAGACCATATAGTCTATTTGGCGTTCGCGGAACGGTGCGACAATAAAGATATCGGTTTCTATCCTAGGATCTTCACTCAGGGCAGCCAGATGGAAAAGCGAGGCCTGTACAATTTGGCGGTGCCCTTGCATACAGAAAGAAATCGTGAAAGGGTTACGCTGAATAGGTGTGATAAAGCCCAAGGTAGGATTGAGGTCACGGTGTATTAGAACAAATCAGCCTACCCTCCATACCTTTGGCTTACGGTATGCGATGGCTTCAGTTACTGTTCGAGGCAATTCCATGTCCGAAGGGGCAAACTACCTTAACAACTAGAGAGTAAACCCATACGAAATCTTCAGTTATAAACTTGGTCAGTGCGATGCCGCGCTTACCTGTAAGGATGTTAACCCATTGACGACCATGCAGTCCACATGTGGACTGCACATTTTTGGCCGTGTGGGACCGTGCAGTTCACATATGGACTGCAGTAATATTTTTTAATTCATTTATATTTCCACTTTTCGACGATCATTCTTCTGTAAACATTAAATCAGGCCTGAATGAAATACATACAGCGTAATTCCAGGAAATCTTCTTATTTTGCGATTTTAAAGGAGTTTTTTCGAAGGAGTACATTATCTATGGTAAATTCTTTGTTCGTTGAAGAACTTCAAAAAATGAGATATTCCGAAATGACGGTTGTCTAAGCATTTTCCCCATTATCCACCAAATGCAAAGCTCGTAAAAGCTCCCAGAAGCGATTTCTGATAAAGATTGAACTCATAATTGAATGACCACTGTACCGAGTGCCAGTTCTATAGTAAAGATCAACAATTACTCAATGTGGGCGTTCTAACCAAATCCATTTGAGGGAACATTCCGAAAAACTTATAAATTTCGCTCATAAACTTCAAAAAATGGTCATTCTGAACCATGTCGAACATATGTGGGCTGCAGTCGCGAGTGTACGAAAAGCGCGCCGGTCCCTCGCGGCGCTTTCCCCGCCAAACGCGATGGTCGTTAATGGCAAAACAATCAAAATGATGGTATGTAAGTCGAGGCGGTCGAGAAGGGCAACCTCAACATCGAGTCAGTCGCGAAGAGCAACCTTAACATGTCCGGTCTGAAGTTTCATGGTTGTACCAAAGTGATTTGACTCTGTATAATTGAGGCGCTACCGTACCGTCAAAAATCAAACCTTGAACAGAGAGTTTCTGTTCATCAAAAGATGCGTACGCCACCAACGGCATCTTCTGCACTGGCTCACCTTTCCTTCGTAACTCGACAAGATGAGAGCAGTCGTTAATCTTCCAAAAGTTTTCTATGGCGTTCGAACCGACCGTAGCCCTCCCACAGGTTCATGGTCCAAACTGCACTGAACCGGGCAAAGACCATCAACGAGGCCACTGTACCCTATAATGGGAATTTTTTCGAATTAAGTCTCTGACAAGTTAGTATTGTAAGCATCTTATACCGGTGGGGTGATTTTTGGGCGTAATAGACTAGCCCTCGGATGATTGACAAATTTTTCTAAAGGCCTACTAAGCTTGCGCTCGGATGTTCCTTGCGCTCATACGATATTTTAGCGACACCAGCTCGGGGGCGTGATTGCGACACTACAGGGAGCGCGTACGGAAGCTTGGGCTTCTATTGAAGCCGATGTGTCTCCGGCGCCTTCATCGGTCGGTGTCCTGCAAATCACTTTTTCATCTGAGGCTGGACCCGACGTAATTTGGGAAGTCAGGTTGGCCGATTCCTCAGCTTGGGTTTCGGTAATGGGAATCGGCAAGCCTAATTTCCCAAATTACGTCGGCTCCAGCCTCAGGTAGTGGGCTCGCTTGGGGGTGAATTGTTGTTACTCTTCGAAGCACCTAACGGTTCATCCGAAAATGACGATGAGTCATATTCAGATGAGTTATCTGTTTCTCTCGACGAGCTCTTGTCGTCACGAGGTTCGAAATACAGTACCGTTCAAAAAGAAATCACCTTGAACCTTTTCTGCCATAACTCATCTCAAACTTAATCTTCCACCTGATTTTTTGACAGGACACTTTTCAAACATTACCGACCCTCCTGCGATGCAGAATTGGCGGTAGCTCACTTCCGGCCAAGTAGGTGAATTTTTTTTTTCGAAAAACGTGCGAAAGGGGCATGTTCTCTAGGTATGCTTCATTGTGTTTTTCAAGTCTAGAAATATTGGTGATGCTTCTATTCTGTTAGCTGACCGCTTTCAGTGGAGAGACAAAACTGGCTCTCGCCTTCTGACCATGGAGCAGCTCTCCGCCACTGCCACGGGCAGTAAGCAGGAATTGACCCATGATCAACATCCAAGGCTGTTTGCTGTACCAATGTCTATGATAACGAAGGCTATCAGAGGTATTGAGTTTCTCATAGGCCCAATCAAGCGCGCCAGCTCGGGAAGGTTACGGATTGCCGCTCTTGAGGACGATGGGTGCGCTTCGTTGCGCGTGTCCGTCGAAACTAGGTCACGCCGCAGCCGTCGCATGCGGCGGGTCGGCCCGCGATACTTGACAGACGTCGCAGCTGTAAGCGGGGCGTACGATTTGCGCTTTCTCCACGGTAGTCAGCCAAAGAGAAGATAACATAGACAAATGCAAATCGTTCGCTCCACTCACACTTGGTGGTACTGTAATGTCTTCCCGAGACCTCAGTGGAGTGCGCCGCGCGCGAATTGGGCGGGGTGACCTACTTTCGACGGACACGCGCAACGGACGTTCGCCGAGGACGATAGGAGGAACATTTGTGCGTCGACTCAAGACTCCAGACGAGAGTCTTCCGATATAATGGCCGAAATATCGACGACGGCGACGTCGCTACCATCTAGAGGTACCGTCAACAGACGCCTGTGGGTTGCTGGAATATATGGAGGAAGACTTGTCAAAAAGTATTCCGATCTCTTAAAAAACAGACGAGCTCGACTTTAATAAGCGCGTCAGCACCTTCACTGGACCTCCAACCAATGACGCGAAGTCATCTAGGGCGAGTAGTTAAAGATTGTTTGGCTTGGTAACCTTGGGTTTCGTTCGTAGACGACCTTTCAAGTCACAAGTTCCGACCCCAAGTACCATTGACAACTCTCAGGCATGGTGCCAGCTCAGTATTGGTTTGGGGATGGTTGCCAGCAGCTTCACTACAAAGTATTAGACTAGTAGTTAATTAGGTTTTGATCTCATGATGATAGCGTCCAAGTCAAGTGACTATTTCAAATGATTGAAACTGATGTTATTTTGTCCTGTTCAGAAAAAAATGTGAAAAGTGGCCTTTTGAACGAAATAAAAAGGAGTTTTGTGAGTTCTGTGATAGAGACGTTAAAAGTCGCCATTGTTGACAACATATCAAAAAATCAGTCAAAACATTGTGTTCGAGATGAGTTATGGCAAAAAAGGTTCGAGGTGATTTCTTTTTGAACGGTACTGTACCTGGGTGCTGGTTCCTCTATCGAGGTAACGAGCAAATCAATAGACTTAGCTGCTTGTTTCGCTTTTATTTCTGCATTAACGTGTTCAGGCGGCGGGCGGATAAGTCCATTTAGATGTTCACAGCGTCACCTCCGTTATATATTGGAAGACCTGCTTCGGTCAAGACCATCCTCAGAAAAATGAGTCTGAGGTTCCTCAACTGAGGCAACGTTCAGGCTCACTAATCACCAATGGTATCATACCAAGGTTGGGTAGGTTGCTCTATAATATCTGGAAGTCGACAGGATATATTACTAATGTAGTTTATTGGTAGGAGGAATGCAGCCGATTTGCAAAAAAAGGGTAGAAAAATGAGTTTGTAGGGAAGAAACGGCACGGGTATGTACATTGTAAAGAGACACGATAGCAGTGGAAAGTAGAAAAACAAAGGAATCATGTTGGCTATTGCGATTTAAATGACCGAAAGAGAAAGGAATATTCATGAGGAACGGTTGGATTTTCGGGGCCCGAGGTTGTAGCCATGCGTCAATTCAGACACGGGGACGACTTGTGGCTGTGGTTCTGTCGATGTAGTGGTATGGTCGTACCTAACGATAGGATTGGTTGGCGCTCGGGCAAACATGTTTTCTTCTTCTTCCGGTATTGATTGGCGCTCGGGCAAACTGTTTTCTTCTTCTTCCGGAATGAGGGAAGGGCAGAAGCGGGAGCGCAGCATTTTAGGACCCTTTTGAATTGATTCAGATGTACTCTACTCTAGGTGAAGTGATGCTAACAATAACAGCATGCTGGGGGTCTGCTTTGATTATTCTAGATTGTCCAACCCACGGAAAACAAATTTTGCTTGCTAGACCCTGTTTGCTGGTGAAATTTCTGAAAAAAAAACTATTACCGGTTTGGATCTGCAGTGGTCGAGCTGCTTTATCATAGCCTAGTTTAACATTAAGCTTGTTCTGTACGTATGCTCGGCCGCGTTGGACCGCGCAATTTGAGGCGCAGCGACTAATTGTGCTTTGTACTCGTCCACCTCACGTGTGTAAGGAGAGTGAGGTGAAGTTCGTGGTTCTGGTATACGGTCAGTAGCAAATACTAGATCGTGACCGAACTTCAGAAAATACGGTGATCCGCCTGCAGCTTCATTGATGGTTGTGTTGTGACAAAAAGCTACGCATGGAAGGGAAATGTCCCAGTCCTCCTGCTTAATATTAATAAGCATCGATAGCATAACCTCAAATGTACTGAATGGACGTTCGGTGGCTCCATTTCATAGTGGATGATATGGTGTAGCCAGCTTATGTTGAATATATAAAAGGTTGCGGATTACCTAGTAAAAATAGGAGGTAAGGCAAGAGGCCTGATCAGGAATGAGTTCGGATATGGTGCCGTACTTGATAACACATTCCGTAAGGAGTGCGTGTGCAACAGTATTGGCGCGTGCCTCTGGTAGAACCATTGATAGGATGACGTAGCGAGTGAACCAACATATCATGTTAGGGCTATATCTGTTTCCACGTTCAGTCACTTTAAGGAGACCACACAAGTTCAATCCCACCTTAGCAAAGTCAGTTTCGCCATAAACTGAGATGACGCGCTCCTTGTTTGCTGATTCGGCTGCCGCCGCATTAGGCATGTCATTCACGTGTTGCACCCTTTATGGATGTCCGAATACAAGGAAGGACAGTAATACTTACGTAAAGTTTGGCCAATGTTTTCTTCCATCCCATATGCCCCAATGACAGTGCGCTAGAGTGGTGAGCACTGAATGCCATATACTGTAGGGTTTGAGGTACGACTAGTAGGAGGTGAGGGGGAACAACATGGGCAGCCGTTTTCCGCTGTCGTAACTTTGCTAATAAATTGTGCGA